TTATTTTGGTTGTAAATCAGATTTTTCGATTTTATGGAAGGAGGTTCGTGGAATCTCTTCTTTTCTTCTTCTCAGCCGTTTCGACTACTTAAATTGTCATTGAGGAATTATTACAATGATTTTGAAGGATAATATCGTAATAGAAAATTTTTGTCTTAATTATTCTTTTATTTGCAAATTAATTTTTTTTATTTTCTACAAATAAGGTTCGTGGAATCTCTTCTTTTCTTTTTCTTAGCCGTTTGGACTACTTTAATTGTCATTGAGGAATTATTACAATGATTTTGAAAGATCATTTTATTACAGAGAGTTTTTCATTTTAATCGTTATTTTTTCTATCTTCTGAAAACAAAGTTCAATGGTATCTCTTCTTTTCTTCTTCTATACCATTCAATTAATGAAACGACTTCTGTCGTTCTGCATGTTTCCAAGACAGTAACAACATTGTCTCGGGAACAATAATTGTTTCCCTATTAATTACCGAATTTTCTGTTAATTATCTTTGTCTCGTGCAGATTCTTTCACAAAGGCCTGTGTTCGGTAATATTTCCTACCTGGTAGAAAGTGCAATTGTTTCGTAAAATAACTTCTTTTATAATTATCAAAACATTTCCTTTGTTTCTCTTAGAAATCAAAAATTTGAATTCAATTCTAATATAGACACAGAATTTTTATTATCTCGGTGAATAATCGTTCCATAGTAAGAATCATTTCTATGACGCATTGGACGATTCGTAATTCAATATTGACAATGGTAATTACATTCTACGTATAAATCCCCTTATTCTCTTGATCTTTACATCATACTTCAAATTCTGCATACACGATGTTCCATTTTGATCTCCTAACACGATTCTCTCTATCCTCGTGGTAAAAGGAAACGTTTGAAAAGGACGTACTTCTTCCAAAGAGACAGATATTACACCTTACAACATCTCCCTTGTAACAAAATCCATATTTTTCTTCAATATAGTCCCCGTGAATATACACCAGTCGTGAAGTAAGTTCAAGTATACCTTATATTATTCCCATCCACTATGCTTTAACGATAAAATATCACGCTGAAAATGATCGTTCGCGTTTCTTCTCCTTTAAATATTTCATTCCATAAAAAATGTCTAACACATTTCCATTCAACGTAATCACCATGAACATATGTACATTCTATGCCACTACGTACGCTTCAACGATAAATTTCCTGTTTCTTCGTTAAATATTTAATTCCTTAAGACTAAGTTTACGAGACGCGTCGTTTTGCCGCATTATGAATTTCACTGGGAAAATTAGAGAAACCGTTTACATTTCTCTCCTACCATTTATTATCAATTTTACATAAATATATACTATCACGTAGTGTCGATCGACGCAAGGTCCAATCGCGCAACACTAGGTCCAGTCGCGCGACACAAGGTCCAGTCGCGCAACACTAGGTCCGATCGCACGACACTAGGTCCGATCGCGCGACACTAGGTCCAGTCGCGCAACACTAGGTCCGATCGCGCGACACTAGGTCCGATCGCGCGGCACTAGGTCCAGTGGAAGGCGGCCACCCAGAGTCCCACTGGGAGGACATACCGACTTAGGGGCGACTGCCATAGCTGGTCCCAAGCCCAGTTGAGAAAAGTAGAGGGGCCTAAGCTAACTTAACTTTATTGCCATCGGCCACCCAACGCCGGGCGCGGGACGCCTATGTCGCAAGACGGATTCCCTGCGCCCGGGCTGAGGCACTCCAACTCGGCGGTGGTTTCGGACCCTAAAAAAAAAAGGTCCAGTCGCGCGACACCAGGTCCGATCGCGCGACACTAGGTCCGATCGCGCAACACTAGGTCCAGTCGCGCGACGCAAGGTTCGATCGCGCAACACTAGGTCCAGTCGCGCGACGCAAGGTTCGATCACACGACACTAGGTTCGATCGCGTAGCATCGAAACGGCGGAGCGCGCCACGCCGCTCCGAATTCGACGCAAGGTTCGATCGCACGACACTAGGTTCGATCGCGTAGCATCGAAACGGCGGAGCGCGCCGCGCCGCTTCGAATTACCGGTGAAAATTATAGATAATATTGTAAACTATGGTTTGTTATTAACATCTTAAAATGAAAATATTTGTAGATTATGCATTTTGAATTTCGGAATTTTTTCATTGGTCGACACATTACTGCGTCCGGTCGTATGTGCAAGCTCTCTCATTTTTGGCTGGAATTTCGTCAATTTTCGGAATTTCCGAGTCTGGTTGGGCTTACAATACGCGGAAAAGATGCAGCTACTGGAATATGCAAAAATTCAAAAATCGAATTTTTGATGATTTCAAAGGTAACCTACCCCCTTAAGAGTGACTTGGTGTCTCAATGTCAATAGGCGGTTGGTTATCCAACAATACTTTCCTGGTCCGTCTCTCCCGCAATTACCCTACATTGTCTTTAAACAAAACAAGTTGTTTTTTAAAGAAAACCTGCTATTTCAATTCACGCGTCAATTTGACAGAGATAGGTAATAAGAAATGCCCGTAAACTTAGCGTCAAAAATGTCAAATATTCCCTCGAACTAACACATTCAACTCTAAATAAACGACAAGGTGAAATTGTATTGTTCCGTGACTGCAACAATTTCCCCCGCAGAGCGGCGACCTAAAACCGGGCGTGTACACAAAGCGGCCAAAAAAGAACCGGTATCCGATGGGAAATCAGTCGCTGTTGCACAAGGAAGTCGCGTTTCCGTGCATAGTCGTGGGATGTCGAGAGACCTCCCTTTTATCTTGGCTCGTTCTCAAGCTGTGCGAGATTCGAGCACGGGCCAGCCAAAAAAGACCTTCGTTGCCACGGTCGTAGAGGAGAGAAAAACAGAGAAGATCTCCACGGTTTGACGATCACACGTAATCAGCGGGCCACGTGGTCTCGTAATCAGCAGCTACTCAGAGTGAAGTGCCGCCATAAGCGTGCTACGGTATGTATTCATGCATGAACTTAAATCGACTGACACTGCGTGAATGAGCTCGCTGTGCACAAAGAGTGGCTTGCTTTAGAAATTTTCTATGCAAGAGAAAATGATCTGCACTTTCGTAGAGGAGACAGTGTGTCTTTTTTTATTTGCAGATTCGAATGTAATTGGTGAATGCGTTTTGTAGGAGCTACGGTGAAAACGGAGTAATAATTTTCTTTTCTTTTAAATACAGTGTGTTCAGAAGTAGGTGTAAGTATTCTCGCGCAAATCTTAATTAATTAATTCTAATTAGATAAGTGACGTGAAGTGTGCTCTGCATTTTATATGAATTTTTATCATTTTTTATTTATCAATTTTTTTATCGTCCCTTGCATAGTATCAGTGCTACTTGTTAGTTAGATAAATGAACTTTTAGGCACAATTGAACAATCACTGTGGAGTATTAAAAGGAGCCTAAGTTCTTCGATCATCTGAAACCGTTAAAAATTGCGAAAAAATTTATTTATCAGTCCAAAAAAGAGTGTCCAATTTCATATCCTAATGCACCTTTCAAATAAAATGTGTGCCAAAATTCACATAAAATGTCATAGTTCCCTCGAAAAAAGATCGCGAAGAAGGTAAAAAAAAATACGCCCCTAAAAAATTATTCTCTAAGAAGAGAATTTATGGCACTGCCGTGAACACCTATAGTTACACACAATAGCCAGTGAACTACGATATTTACGATCGATTATCACCAAGGCCTTCACCCAGTAGTCCCACTTTCGACTCGAAGGAAATTCACAAGCCAACCTAACTTAACAATCCCAAGATGTTACGTTCGAAACAACTACCAAAAGATCGTCAGCGACGCGTTAACACGTTGACTGCCATGTTAATCATTGTTTCCTCGGTTAATTACTTTACAATTAAGATAAAATCAATATCGTCGACTAAAAATTTCGAACATCGTAGCTAACTAGACATTATTTTGAATTAAAAAATAATAATAAAGTACAAGCATAATATCTTCTTCCAACCTTAAATAGGACACCGACGATGAAAAATAAGGAAGGGGTTATTAGCGTAGTGCGCAAAGTTTCGGCTTGCCACCCCGGAGGTCGCGGGTTCGATTCCCGGTTCTTGGTCCTCGATTTTTTCTTCGGTTCCTACAATATTATTACGCTTAATAAAATAATGAAAATTTTCTTGTAATCTCCTGAAGGCAAACATTGGTAAATCTGGGCGTGTTTTGGCAGTCAACACGTGTTAAACGTCTCAAAGTAAAGTTACTAATCCGTCCAGGTTTCCCCGGATATTTGTCCCAAGTTCCTAAAGCGTCCGCTGGGGGGATCTTCTATAGCGATCCGTGTTCTCCGATGTTCGTTTGCTATCCAAACCGTTATCTCTCACCGATCATCCGTGTTATCATGTTATATATCGTTGCATGCGATGATCTAATAAACTAAAATATACTATGTAGCAATGCATCTGTGTCTCTAGGAATGATTTTCAAGTGTTACGTTCGCATCAGAATCAGTCTAAATGCAAACGCAAAAAAGAAGTTTCTATCTTGTAATTAATCTAAACAATATAAGTGTCCTAGATTTCATACAGAAAAGTCCGATAGCAACCCTACTCTAAACCTGTAATATCGTAAATAATGAAAAAAAAAATAGAAGTGTCCAAGTTTCAGGCAGAAAATTCCAAAGTTTGAATGCTCTCTATCTTAAATTACCGACTTTACAAATAGCGACCCTAGTCTCAAGCACAACAGCAGCAGCTCTACCCTAGATCCCTAAGAGAATTGAAAAAGAGGAACACGCTAGGAAAAGAAAAATGGCGAGGCAGTTAGTTAGGTGGCACGCGATATTGGACCATGACGAGGCGAACAACGGGTCCGCCTCTGCGAGCTCAGTGTCCGTTTCATACCAGCGAGGAGATCGCGGAGCGGCGATTAGACGCGCCAAGGCCGCCTTTACTCCACGATTTTCCTGCTCGTTCGTAAGGAGCGTGTTGTATCGGCAACGCAGCGATAGATCGTCACTGCTATGCCCGAACGCGTGCTTCAGTCGAGGCGCGGACGCCGTTCCGTCCTCTTCCTCTCGCGTCTTCTTTCCTTTCTTCGGTTTTATCGAAAGAAAAAAAAAAAAAGTCGCGCTCCATTTCGGATTCTTTCCTTCGCGCAGGATCGATCCATCGAGTTTTCACGACCGACGAGGTGAGTCCTGTACCGTGTTGATGTTTGTCTTCTTGAGTGCCCTGAAACTTCGCGTCCCGAGGAAACGCAGGTTTTTCATCTCATCAGGATTCTCCGGAACAATTTTTGTAATTGATTTTGCAGCTGGTTTTAGGTTGACAGGTAGTTAATTGCACTTTGCAGTCTTTTGGTTTTAGTGCAGGCTAATATTCGTTGTGTTTTTTTTTTTTATTGGAAAATTTGAGGATTCGTTGAAATTGAAGAATTAGTGAAATGGAAATAAATGAGGATTTTGTGGTTTACTGTGTTTTCAAATGTGATTTTTTGATGTTAGGTCATACCGTAAGTTCTAGAAGAAAGTGACAAATGTTTTAACGAAGATCCAAGGACGTTAATGATCTTATTGAAAAAATAGAAAAAATTTGAGGAATGGAAAAGCGCTTACATTTCTTTTTATCAAGTTTAAACAGTAAAATTCGACACGAACTTATTAGATGACCTAATATTTCTGTGGAGCTTGATGAGCTAACCGTTTCAGTCTCGTTGTAGACACTAATGGTTGCAGTAAAGAAATTTTTGCAATATTATTATTCACGAATACAGAGGATAGCGTGGAATTAAGCATGAATGGGTATAATTACGGAGGGAATGCATGTAAATGTGGTTAACGAATGCAACGAAAAGCAGGTCATTTCACCTTTGCGACGTTCTCGAGTACGCAACAAGTGCAGAGTACATACGATAATAATGGGATAGTAAAAGGTACAACAAGAAGTGTAAATAAACGTGGAAAATTGATGTTTGTCTTAGTTCTTATCAGTGGTTCAGCCAGTGACAAAGATCCAACGAACTTTCCAAGTATGATAAATCAAAAGATCAACAATAAGCTCGTCTACATTTAGACACTGAACAGTTAACGTTAAACTATGCCAATTATAATTTTCAAACAAGTTTATTATCGATAAAAAAAATTCTTTTATCAATCACGATTTCAGAAGATTTCAATGCTTCTTCGGTCTTTTAGAGACGTCCAGAGAATCATGCTCGATTGAATTACGCTTATTGAATTTAGTTTAGGTGAATTGTATTATTTACGAGTAATCTCGAGTTTGATACGAGGATTTTTTTATATTCACGCGATCTCAGATAGCTTCTTGGGACGGGATCATCGGACGTGCTCCATTTTCGATCGTGTTGCGCGTAAACTAGAGATTCAGGCGGTATAATCCGCGCATTTCGGTCGAATCGCGAAAGTGGAGCGTATCTGAAAGTATATAACTACGCCGGTTTGCGTCACGAATTGGATCGTCGTGCCGAGCGTAATTATATTATGATAAACATAATCTCACGTAATTGCTAGGATAACCGGTGGTTATCGTCGTCGTCCAGCTCGCAAATAAATAATCGACACGATTAAAGGATTACCGATACCGCGATTTTCGAACGGTTTCGTGTTTTATGGGTTTTTAAACTCTTTCGCTGTTTTATCATATTCTGTTTCGAAATTTCTGAAATTTCTTTCCAATTTTTTCACATTTTCGTAGCTTTATTACTTTCAGTATCAAAATTTTAGAATTTATTTCTGAGTTTTTGACATTTTCTTAGCTTTGTTATTTTCTGTTTCCAAATTTTAGAATTTATTTCTTCGTTTTCCACATTTTCGTAGCTTTATTATTTTCAGCTTCAAAGTTTAAAAACTTTTTTCTGAGTTTTTGACATTTTCGTAGCTTTATTACTTTCAGTATCAAAATTTTAGAATTTATTTCTGAGTTTTTGACATTTTCGTAGCTTTATTACTTTCAGTATCAAAATTTTAGAATTTATTTCTGAGTTTTTGACATTTTCGTAGCTTTATTACTTTCAGTATCAAAATTTTAGAATTTATTTCTGAGTTTTTGACATTTTCTTAGCTTTGTTATTTTCTGTTTCCAAATTTTAGAATTTATTTCTTCGTTTTCCACATTTTCGTAGCTTTATTATTTTCAGATTCAAAGTTTTGAAATTTAATTCTGATTTCTTGGCATTTTCGTAGCTTTATTACTTTCAGTATCAAAATTTTAGAATTTATTTCTGAGTTTTTGACATTTTCGTAGCTTTATTTTCTGTTTCCAAATTCTCAAATTTATTTCTTAGTTTTCGACATTTTCGTAGCTTTATTATCTTCAGATTCAAAGTTTTGAAATTTATTTCTGATTTCTTAAATTTCTCTTTTCTTTTTTGTCTTTACAGCTTCATTATTTTCCGTTCGAATTTCTGAAAGTTAATTCTGATTTTTTTAAACATATTCGTAGTTTTATTACCTTCTGTTCCAATTTCTGGAATTTATTTATCATATTTTCGACATTTTCAGTTTGCTCACTTTCAGTTTGAAAATTTCAAAATTTAGAACGTCGAATCACGTTCCCGTGAAATTTCATTTTTTACATAAGTGCATGTAAGCAGTTTCGTCTATAGAATTTCTCAACAATTGGAAGTTTCGTAATCTTGGTTTGCTTTCGTTCTACACTCTGGTTTCCAATTTGTTTACGGTTCAGTTTGTTCAGAAGTGCGCGGCAATTCTACGACAGTGTAATATATTTTCACGCCACGAGGGTCATACTTGTAATTACAAAAAGTGTGAGTCACTTCTGATAGTGTAGCGGAATAAATTTCAGTTTTACGCTTCGTAAATTTGTTCCTTTTTCGTGTATGTGTAAATAATTTTTAAGCGCAGAATTTCTCGGTGAAACTTTCTGCTTGGTAATATTAATTGCTTCTACGATTTTCGTATATTTTGCAATATTTCTGCGAAATCTGAGATACATTCGACAATTATCACTCGAATTACTGAATTTCTGCTCGTTCGCGCATATTTACATTTAATCTCAAATAACATGTTACCGTTTTATGACTTTCCTCTGGTTAGTTTCATAATTTTTACCGGAATTTTGTCGATCTACATTTCGATGTCGTTTAAAGTTCAACAATTTTAGAATTAAAAGTTTTACTATTGCAGAATTCAAAACTTCAGAATTTAAAACTCTAGAAT